ACCCGTTTCCCACAGGACCCGCAGCCCGAACCTATGCTGACCGCTCTTGACCCCCGTCGCAAAGTTCTGCTATTGCCCAACCTCCGTCCCACCGACCGGGATGGGGGAGTGCAATTCGAGGGAAGGAGCACGGGGACCATGACCAAGATGTCGCGGGATTCTGTCGAGACGACCTTGGTCATGGTCCATGTCGGCCTTCGCCAACTTGGCGAGGACGATCCGCGAAACGTTGCTGACCAGGATGGACGGTGACCCACGGATGGACACGACGCTTGCGCGTTTTCAGTCTTGGTCATGGCCCCCGCTTCCTTCCCTTCCGGCAACAGACACAGAGTCACTGGCAACCTTGCATTGATCTGGGCCTCCTGGATGGGGCCCGAGTAGATGGGGTCGTAGGATCGCGCCGCATCGCCGATGCATCGGCGATGCATCGGCGATGCATCGGCGATGCGGCTCGATGTGGAGCCCGTGTTTCCCCACGCCGACGTCGCCGATGCATCGCCGATGTATCGGCGATGCATCGCAGATGCATCGCCGATGCATCGGCGACGCAATTGGCGATGCGGCGCGATCCTCCGGCCCTATCTACTCGGACCCCATCTGGGAGGCCTCAAATTGATACACTGCTGTCTTGTCGCCCCCCTCACCGTCGGCGCGCACCGCTCCCGCCGCCGGGCGCCCGGCCAGGTCGGCAGCTGCACTTCGCCGCGCGCTGCCCCGACGAGGCGAGCGCCAGGGCCTTCCGCGACCTGCTCGAGAAGACGCTGGAAGAGACGCACGCGAGAATCTCGGAGCGCCCCAGCTTTCAGTCGAGCGTGCCCCTCTACAGGAGGAAAATTTGAAATTAGTCAAAAGACAGTCTGGGTGCACCTTTTTGTTTTTAACTATTTTGGGCTGTTCGGGTGTATTGTTTGAGTATCTTTTTATTCTTCGTCCGAAAACCGCCTGCAGGAGGACGCCTGAGCTGACCCCAGCCGCCGCCAGCCACGCGCAGAGCACGGCATGGGGAGTCTAGGCCTCCTAGATTGGGTTGGAGTACCGCGCCGCATCGCAGATGCATCGCCGATGCGGCCCGATGCGGGGCCCGACTTGCTTCACGACGGTGTCACCGACGTACCGCCGACGTGGCCGATGTATCGCCGGTGCTCCAGCCGTAAGTCGGGCACGTCCCTCTACAGGAGGAATATTCAAAGATTGTAACATAATAGTTTGGGGACGATGTCTCCACTATTCTTCGATTTTTGTTGGCGCATTTTGGGAGTATTTCAGATTTTTCGTCCAAGCTCCGCTTGTAGGAGGCCATGCCCAACCTAACCCCAGCCCCCGCCAGCCACGCGCAGAGGGCGGGCAGAGGGGAGAGGGGAAGGCTTCTCAGAAGCACCCCTGCTTCTGAGACGGCGAGGGTCTTGTCCGTAAATGTAGGGCCGCTCCTTCCAGGACGCCTTCCCCCCTCCCCTCCCACTCTGGCGAAACGTCCTTGCTTCACTGCAGGCCCACCAAATGATGGTCTAAGAACCTTGTGTGGCCTGCGCGACATGTTCTTAGAACATTTCTGGCTGAGACTGTTTCGTTTTCACGCGTCGGGCTTATGCTCTAAGAACCTTGGTTTTGTTCTTAGAGTATTTGTTGGTTCTAAACGCATTTGGTGGTAGGCCTATAGGCATGCTAAGAATATTCAAACATGGTCAAAACATAGTCGGGGGACGTTTTTAATAGTAAAATTGTAGCACACGCAATAACACACGTTTGTCTATGTTGAAGCGTTTCTGCATTATCTACATCTTTCTATCAAAACCCGCCTGTGGGAGGATATGCCCGAACAAACTGAGCCTAGCCCCTTGCGCGCGCCGCCAACCAGCCCCCGGGGCCTGGCCTTCCCCAGCATCCTTGCGCCGTGGGGGGAGACGCACGCCGGACGGTGTCTCGCCACCTTCGGCCTCGCACGCAAGCCCCGGCATTCGAACTCCGAGGCCCGGAGTTCAGATTGCCGTACTCGCAAGGGGCCTCGGAGTTCAGATTGCCGCACTCGCAACGCAGGATTTAAAAAAAAAAAAAACACGCACCGTTCTACTCATCCAAACCATTCCACCGCCCCCCCTTACCCCTCACGCACCGCTGAAAACCGCGCGGCCCCAACCCCATCGCGTTCGCTATATTACCGAGCTCCCCCCGGGACCCCTCCATACAAGGGCCCCGTAGCCATAGCCCCGACAAGGGCCGAGTCGGCGCACTTCTCGATCGAGCTCTCGGCGATCCCATCGCGGAAGCGCTTGTACCGCTCGCCGTGGGGAACGTGGTTCACATCGCGCGCACCTCCTCGACCCCAGGCTCCCAGGCATCTCTGAGCCATCTTGGGCCGTCTTGATGGCCTCTTCGGCGGACCTGGAGGCAACTAGGGCCATCTTGGGCCATCCTGGAGGCCGTCTTTTGGGCCAACGTGCCCATCTCAGAAGCCATCTTAGAACCCAAGGGCTCCACGGGCGCGGGGGCGCCCCCCCGCCGCGCTGGCGCCCGCCGCCGGGCGGGCCCTGGGCGTCGTTGGCTCCCTGGAGCCGAGCAGGCGCCGAGCTTCGCGGTGCTGGAGGAGGAGGAGGAGGAGGAGGAGGAGGAGGAGGAGGAGGAGGAGGAGAAGAGGTTCGTTTGAGATGCTGGTCAGAACGCACCCCGGACCTAGACTTAGGTCAAGCGTGCCCCTCTACAGGAGGAATATTCACAAATAGTCGAAACAGAGTTTTGGGATGTTGTTTTCGACCATTGCTTACGATTTCTGAGCATGATTTTATGTTTCACTGTTCGTCCAAACTCTGCCTGTAAGAGGACATGCCCGACCTAATTCTTGCCCTCTCGGGGGGCGTTTCATCTCCATGGCGGGATCCGTCCTGAGATTCTGGTCACAACGCCCCCCCGGAACAGACGTCGGCTTTGTTAACTTCCAGACTGATGATGTTCCAGCCTGTTTTAGTCTTGATCACTAGGAAGATCTTCGAGCACCAGGGAAGTACCGAAACTGAGGGGTTTTCACGTGTCGGGCCCCGGGAGGCGATACTCGTTCGACATTGTTTCGAAACTGTTCGGGGTGCTCGAAATGATCTCTGGGATGTGGGTACCTAAGCACGATGGGGGCAACATAATTCCAGACCTAGACCCCCTAGCGTGATGACAGTCTTCAGCCCCTGGGGGCCCTCGCAGCGTCCAGGGGCCGTGAAATGGCGGCTCGGGAGGAGAAGCCCGTCTCAGGAACGGGCCCAGACCTCTGGGGAGCCACGTCGCCAGAAAATCACGACGTCGGATAGCTGGTCTACCTTCTCATTGCTCCATTCTCCCTTCTTCCGTCCGTGTCCTCTTATCTCCCTCGCTTCTTCTCCAGCCCTTTCCCTGCCCATCGTTCCATTAACTTCGCGTCCCCTCCTCTCCACTCCCCTCCTCTCCCCCTCCCCACTCCCCTCGCTCTTGGCGGTGTCCTCCCCCTCGTGCACCCCATCGTCCACGTCGTCCGCTTCCTCTCATCGCTGCTCCTCCCTCCTCTTCGTCCTGCTCCCCGTCGTGCTCGACGTCGTTACTCGTTGTGTCGTTCTTCTCCTCCCACTGCGCCTCGTCACCTTCCGTGTCCTCCCCCTTCTGTTCCCTTCCTTTTCGGCGGCGAGCGTGGGGGGGAACTGAGAAGGGGCTGTCCTTCCCAGAAGGCTCGGAAGTCCCCGGTCTTCTGAGAAGGTTTCTGAGTCTTCCCCGAAGACGCGGATAATTTCTTAGTTGGCGCGAGGGTTTTTGAGAAGCCCTGCCGATTTCTGAGAAGACCTTCTCCTTCTCGCTCCCCCCCGTCGCTCGCCGCCGATCTCAGGGAGGAGGGAGAGTCTCGCCATCTGGGGGGGCACGGGTCCTGAGGGAGGCGGGTCCTGAGGATGTTCGTCGTCTTCGGGCTCTCGGGGCCCTCCACGGGTCCCCGGAGCGGCAAAGAACGACTCGGGATGAAGAGCTGGTTTTCCGGGGAAGGCCCCAGGGTCCGGGACCCGTTTCCCGCAAATATCGTTTTCCCCCATGCTGAGCAAGTTGAGAGTAGCGATGCTTTGGACGCTCTATTTGTGCTGGCAGTTTTGGTTCGCCAGTTCGGGAACGCGATTCGAGCGTGTACTTACTTCCCTGACGGGCAGTCCTTGTAGTCGGGTGCACCGCATGTGCAGTGATGGCGTGATACACGGAACCTGTAATTACCTCCCGTTTCTCCCAGCTCGGGTTCTCTTCGCGTTTCTCTCGCAAGTCCTTGCACAGCCCGGGACACCCTGGTTGCCCTGGGCTCGCTGCTCGAAGGAGAGCAGACGGTACAAGCATGTATCGTCGGTGGTCCACCCGGATTTCCAGTCCTGGCCATTGCCATTCCCGAGAGTTTCTTTGAGCCCGCTGCCCGCCTCCCCCCACCCGGCATCGCGACAGCGTGTTCGGCGACCACCCTTCAATGGCGCGATCGGGCCCCTCCGCTTCCCCCCCCTGCAGCCCTAGTGCAGTCACGGGGAAGCTGTAAGGGGTCGCTCGTCCTCCTCCTCCTCCTCCTCCTCCTTATATTCCTCCTCTTCCCCCTGCTACCTCTTCCGTCTCAACCTCCCTATCTCCACCTCCTCCTGTTTATTATCCATGTGTTGTTGCTTCTCCTCCCCCCCTTCTCTTCCCTCCTCCTGTGCAATAGGAAGCAGCCCGACTGCCTTGGCAGCTGCAGTCCCCAACATGATCCTCCCGGTTCTTGTGCGTCGTGGGGTTTTGTTCTGAGCACCTTGGCCTCGTCGCCCGAGGATCGCATGGAGAAGCGCAAGAGGAAGGCGCAGGAGTTGGTCGCCGCGCCCGCCGAAAAGAAGGCCGCAGCGTGGCGCATCCATGGGACCCTGCTGCGCGGATCATTCTGATCAGTCGGGTCGCACCACGTGGAGGGGAGGAGGGATGAGGGAGGAGGGAGGAGGGAGGAGGGAGGAGGGAGGGGGGAGGAGGGAGGAGGGAGGAGGGAGGAGGAGGAGGAGGAAGAGGAGGAGGAGGAGGAGGAGGGGGGGTTGGGGAACACGGGGGGGGTGTTCGCCATCTGCTGCCCGCGGCCGGTCTCGGCCCCGCCGCCCGGGCGCCCTCCCTCGACACACGTGGGCGCCTCGCGGGGCGCCACGGCAAGGTGCCAGGGAAGTCGGCCACGCGAGCTGATGCGTTGCCCCCCCCTCCCCCTCCCTTCAACATCTTAACGGCCCTCCCCCCCTCCCCTCTCTCCCTCCCCTTCCCCCTCCCCCTTTCCCGCTCCCCCTCCCCTTCCCCCTTCAGCATCTTAACGTCCCTCTCTCCCTCCCCCCCCCCCGTTAACCCTCCCTGCGCCCGACCCGAATGAGATGAAGATGCCGAAGATGGGAGGGCGCGGGCCATCCTGGGCCCATACGCGGCACCTGTGCCCTGATGGAAGACGTACCCATCGGTTGTTGCACGTTTGGACTCCCAGATTCCAGCCTGCTTGAAGCGCCTTCCTGCTTCCATGATCGAGTGGCTTCACCTTCTCCGTCCTCAGGGGGCGGACGGAACCCAATCTACTTTCAACGCCTTCCTGCTTCAGGCTTCTGCCTCTTTTTCTTCCGGCCGCCGGGTATGCACCGATATCCAGGATCGGCGCAGGGTGCGCAGTCGGCGTCTTCTGTGGGAAGGGGGGCAGCACCTGCAGCAGGAAGGTGGAGAGGAGCCGGAAGAAGCGGGGTGGGGATGAGGATCACGCGGGGTAGTTGCATGGGGAGCAGGAGGGCCGAAGAGAAGGAGGATGAAGAGGCAGAGGCGGACGAGGGCGAGAAGGAGAGGGATGAAGGTGCGGTGGAGCAGGAGGAGGAAGGGGAGGGAGAACCATCAGCGGAGACGGAGGTTGAGGCGGGGGAAGGCGCGGAGGAGGATGGGGAGGAACGGCATGTGGGCGTGGAGGGGGATGCGGAGTGGGAAGATGGAGGGTTAGGAGGAAACGATGGAGGAGGAGCGGAAGGATGAGGAGTTGGAGGAGGGAGGGGGAGCAGCACGAGGCAGTCATATTTGGCAGTTCACGCTGCGTGGAACGCTTGCGTGTTGCACACGTTGAAATACTCCAGTGGCAAATTCACACACCTCACGTATTGCACGGCCACGTCAACGAGCATCCGTTCGGTAGCACAGAGCAAGTTTGCAAGGGGCAGGGTGGATGTGTCACCATACCTGTTCGTGCGTTCGTAGCTTCCGATGAGGCCCGGGTAGGGAGGTGCCCATCCTCCTTTTCCTGTCCTCCTTCCCTGCAGTGCAGCCGCCGAGCTCAGTTTCGTCTCTTACCAAGGAGGCATGCCCCTGAACCCGCGGCTACGATGTTGGCATCTGGAGCGTGGGGCCTCCCACTGCCCGTGGCTTCGCCGCCTTCCTATTCCACACCCGTCAGAGGAGGGTCCCTCCCTGGCGGACCCGCTTGATTCGCAGGCCGCCAGTTCGGTCAGGCGTAACACATGGCAAGAACCGCCCCGGGAAGGCTCGGGGCTCGTGGACTGTCCTCTTGTCGGGGGGTCGTAGAGGGAGGGTTGATATCCCAAGGTGGGGCTGGGGAACGGGCCCAACTGAATGCTCCCATGTATCGCGTTTTCTTCTTCCAGGGGCCGTTTGAGGCGATTTTCCTTCCAAGCCCGCCTTTGCCCCAGCCCCACCCTTGTGCTCCCCCGATTTGGGAATCGCGCCGCCAGGGCCAGGGCCAGCGCGGGGCAGGCGGAGGTGCAGACTCCACACCGGGGAAAAAGGGGGGCAGAGGGCGCGGCGCGCGGGCGCGTGCAGGCCGCCAGGAGCACACGCAGCTGCGCAGGGGGCCCATGCAAGGCAGGGAGGGGCCCGGATCGTTACCCACTGGCCGCTGGACGTACGTGTTTTGGGATTCCCAGCGCCCAGTCTGCCTTTGGCGCCTGCCTACTTCAAGAGAGTCGAGCAGCTCTCCCTCTTCCCTCCTCTGCAGGAGGCGAGCGGAAACTCAATCCACTTCCAACGCCTTCCTAATTCGTGGTTCTACCTGCGTCTTCCGACCGATGGGTACGGGGCCCTCATGGAATTGGCCAGCCACACATGGCCCAGGCCTGGAGAGCGACATCGCACGTCCTGCGCGCAGAAGAGGAGGCGTGGCTCCGCAGTGCTCGAAGTGGGCGAGCTGGGGCCCCGAGGAGGCGTGGCTGCGCAGTGCTCGAAGTGGGTGAGCCGGGGCCCTGGCCCGACGGCAGGCTGCCCTGGAGCCTGGGGCGGGGCGGCGAGGCGCGGCGGGGCGCACTCCCGGGGCGTCGGGGGAGGACGGCTCGACCCGCGCAGTGCCGGCCCGGGCAAGTCCACGCTGCGCCGGGCACTTGCGCTGTCGCTGGCGCCGAGGTCAGGCGCAGGCCGGGCAGTGGCCGGGCTGTGGCCGGGCTTCCGGGGAAGGTCCGGGGCGTGTTCGTTTTGGGGGGCGCGGCCCTGCTCCGCGCATGAGCCCGACTTGCTAGTCAGGGCGGCATGCGGGCGAGTTTTGCCGCTGTCCAGTATCTCTGTTGCTGTTGCTGTTGCTGTTGCTGCTGCTGTTGCTGTTGCTGTTGCTGTTGTTGTTGTTGTTGTTGTTGTTGTTGTGGTTGTTGTTGTTGTTGTTGTTGTTGTTGTTGTTGTTGGTGTTGCTGTTGTTGTTGTTGCTGCTGCTGCTGCTTGTGTTGTTGTTGTTGTTGTTGTCGTCGTCGTCGTCGTCGTCGTTGTTGTTGTTGTTGTTGTTGTTGTTGTTGGTGTTGTTGTCGTGCCTTCTCGTCTCGTTTATTTGTGTGTGTTATCGCATTGGTGTTGTTTTTTGTCCGTGGTTGCAAGTGTTTTGACTTGCCTTTCTCGTGTTCGTTTCGGACAATTTCGTGCCTCGCTGCTGTTTTCTTATGCTGTTTCGCGCCTTCTCGAGCCCTTTCGCATAGTTTCATTATATGTCTCTTCTGGTCCGCGCCATGTTCGCCTTGTCGTGCCTTTGTTCGTGCCATGCCGCGCCTTGTTGATGTTCGTTTCGCGTCTGTTTCGCGCGCGTTTTTCGCGCTGATTCGTGCCGTTTCGCGCCTTGATGTTCGTTATGTTATTTTTGGTCGTGATCGTTCGTACTTATTCATGTTGTTCCGCTTCATATTTGTGTTTGTTCATGCCGTTTCGTTGCGTTGTCATGCCTTCTCGAGGTTTTGCTTATGTAGGCGTCTTGCATTGTCTTGCTGTTCCATGCTGGTGTTTAATGTGTTTGTCGCGCCTTGTCGTGCCTGTCGCGCGCCTTTTTCGCATTTGTTCGTGCAGTGCTCGTGCCTTGTTCGTGCTTTCCAGTGCCAGTTGTGGTTGCTCGTGTTGCTTCGTTTATTTGGTTTGTCTTTTCTTGTACTGTGTCGTGCCTTGTATATGCTTGCTCGTGGTCGGTTGAGTCTTCGCATGTCCTGTTCGTGTTTGGTTGTGTTTTTTCTCGCGCGTCCTTCGTGCTGTGTGTGCGTGCGTGCGTTTGTTGCTTAGCTTCGCTTTTGTTGTTGTGCCGTGCCATGTGTGCTGCGTTTTTTTTGTGTTGTTCCTTTTCCTTCTGATTTGTTTATGTTGTTTGGGATCTCCGTTTTTTATTTTGTTGTTCAGTGCCGGTGTTCTTTTTTTTTGTTTTGTTTCTCTTCAGTTTGCTTTTGGAGCTTGTTGGTGCCTGTGCGTCGTGTCTTGTGTTTTCTTGGTTGTGCGTTTTGTTCGCACTCTGCAGGAATCCAGAGACCCCCGGCAGGTTTAATGTGAGAGAGTCTGTACGTCGACGTTCGGGCTCAATTCATCAAGGCAAGCATCCGAAGAAAAAAGATCTCGCCATGGTAGCGGAGCCGTGGTCCCGACCCTCGCAGTCTACGGGGTCGGGCTCCGCGGCTCCCGCTCCCGCCGGCGGCGCGGAGAGCCCCAGCAGCCTGGGACGGCCCGCCGGCGCTGGAACCGCAGCGGGGCCGGCCGGGCCCAGCGCAGGCAGCGGTGACGAGTGGGAGTTCCTCGAGGTCCACCAAGGCTGGAGGAGAGTGGCGCGGTCGCTGCGCAACTGTTCAGGCTCAGGAGGACCTGGGCGGCGTTGGGCCAGCACCTGAAGGACTTCACGAAGCTGCGAGCGAACCGCCGCTAGGATGGCGGAGGAGCGCACGCTCGCTCTAGAGCAGCAGATGCTGGCGATGGCTCAGGAGCTGCGGAACCGCCAGCAGAGGGATAATGATCTCACGGCCGAGGTTCAGCGGCTGTGATCTAAGACCACGGGTGGAGGGACCTGTGCTGCAGCCTCGAGCTCAGTCGCTCGTGGACACTTCGTACGCTGGGCAAGCCAGATGTGTTCACGGGCGAGGAGCACAAGTGGAACGATTGGAAGGTGATCTTCAAGGCGTAGTGTGGCGTTGTGAACGCTGACTTGCTGGCAGGGATGCGGCTAGCAGAGAGGGCTGCCGAGGCCTCAGTCCAGATCGACGACTTCATCGAGGAGACTATGAGGCAGGCCTCGCAGCAGCTGTATTACATCTTGCTCCTCCTCTGCCGGCAGCACCCTCTGACGACGATCGTGAACGCTGGCGAGAATGAGGGCTTCCAAGCTTGGCGCAAGCTGGTCGAGTACTACGAACCGAACGCGAGGTCCCGCATCGCGTGGCAGCTGCTGAATCTCCTGAACTTTCACGTTCACGGGCGATGTCGAGGACCGGCTGGCGCTGTTCGAGCGAGAGCTCCTCAGGTGCGAACAGAGGGGCGGCGAGGCCATCGCGGCCTCCATGAGGATCGGCATCGTCCTTCGGCAGCTCGAGGAAGGCCCTCTACGCCATCACCTCTTTCTCAATGCGACCAGGCTGGTGGAGTGGCGGGATTTCCGACGTGAGGTCACCGATATCCGCCGTGCCCAGAGCGCCATCGCACCGGTACCCTTGCCCATGGATCTGAGCGCGTTCACCGAGGGCGACGGCCAGGGTAAGTCCAGGGGCGACGGCAAAGGCAAGGGCAAGTCTGGCGGCAAGGGCAAGAGCAAGGGCGACAGCAAGGGCAAGTCCAAGTCCGACGGCAATGGCAAGACCGGCAGCAAGACGCATGGCCAGCCGCTTGGGCCCCTCTGCTAGGGCTGCGGCGGTCGCGGCCGCACCCAGCGCGAATGCCCAAGCAAGCGCAGGGGGGCGTTGGCGAGCTTGGAGCAGACGCTGGCTCGCATCAACGCCTCCCAGTCGACGAGCACGACTGCGCCATCGGCGGTCAGCTCTATCTCGACGGCTGCGACTACGAGGCTGAGTCCGGCGATGGCGATATCCGGCGCGAGCTCTCGGCAGGTCGCCGCGCTCTGCCTGAACGACGCGGGCGAGCAGGCCAGCTACCCGCTCGCGAATCCCCACTCCCTCATCATCTACGGCCCGGGGCCGGACAAGGCGGACGCGGTCGACTCTGCGATCGGCGCGGCCCTGGACCTGAACATGATCCACGGCAACTCGGATGCGGAGGAGGTCGAGCTCAACGGCATCTTGCGCGTGGGCATCGACTCGTGTGCGGCGGCCTCGGTGCTGCCGCGCGGCTCGTGTGCGGACTACCCTGTGCACGAGGGTGGCCAGGCGATCTCGTACAAGACTTCCTCCGGCCACTACGTGAACGACGAGGGCGAGAGGCCCCTAGCGGGGGCGATGCCCGGGGCATCCCTGGCACGCGCTGCCAAGTTCAGGGTGGCGGGCGCCAGCAAGCCGTTGCTGAGCGTCGCGGAGATGGTCGACTCGGGCCATCGGCTCGTCTTCGACTCGGAGGGCGGGCAGGACATTAGCTACGCGCATCACGAGACCAGCGGAGACGTCGTCCAGTTCTTCCGCAGAAACAAGGTCTACGAGATGGACATGCACGTTGACCCGTACGTGCCGGAGGTCTGCCCGGTCGAGGTGGCAGGCCACGAGCCCCCCGAGGGTGAAGCCGGCCAGCCAGGCGCGGCCCACGAGCAGGTCGCGGAGGGCCCGCCGGCGCGGCCGGCGAGGAGGCCCGCAGCGCCGACGGCGGCCGAGCGAGCCGCGCATGAGGTGCTGCACGAGCCCTACAGGGCATGGCGCCGGGGGCGCGTCTCTGGCAAGCAAGGGCCTGTCCGCAGGCCGTCAGACGAACGACCACCAAGAGTCGGCGCTCGCGGTGGTCGGCATCGACTGCGGCTGCCTCGGTGAACGAGAGGACGCCACTCCGCTGCTGATCGGGAGGGATTCAAAGCAGCGTTGGTTCCACGCGTCGGCGGTTCCATCCAAGGGGGCGCAGCATCCCTGGCCGCAGAAGTCATGGTCCAGCAGGCTGGCATCGGCTGGCCACCAGCGCTTCGTCTTCCGCTCGGACGGCGAGGCGCCGCTCGTCGCCCTGCAGACCCGCATCGGGGCCAAGCTCAAGCAGGGGCACGGCGTCGAGGCGGTGCCCGAGGAGAGCGCGGTCGGCGACTCCCAGGGCAACGGCCTTGCCGAGCACGCGGTGCGCGAGGTCAAGGCCAAGGTTAGGGCGGCGCGGGCGCAGGTGGACGACTTCCACGGCGTGAGCATTGGCATCGAGCACCCAGTGACCCCGTGGATGGTCGAGTTCGCGGCCATGTCCATCAGCCTGGGCAGGCGGGGCGCGGGCGGCCGCGCGGCTTGGGAGCTTCGGCGCGGCCGCCCCTTCAACAAGGACCTGGCTTGCTTCTCGGAGAAGGTCCTGCACCTCCCAGGGGGCAAGCGCAAGGCCGGGATCGAGGACAAGTTTCTCGCTGGGCCCTATCTGGGGCCCACGCACGGACGAGGTCTACATTGGCACGGAGTTGGGCGCGCTGCGCGCCAGGGCTTTCGAGCGGTTGACGGTCGAGCAGCGGGCTGACAAGGACCTGCTGAACAGCCTCGTGGGGAAGCCGCGGGCGCCGGTGCCGACGGACATGGCGGTGGACGAAGTACCGGTGACCATCGAGATCCGAGCGCTGGTTCCCGCGCCGGTCGCGCCTGTGGGCGGACCTCTGGCGCCCATCCCCGAGGCTGAGGACCTCCCGCCCCGGGCCCCCCGAGTCGGGCGGCCACCGGCATGGCCGCGGGCCGTCTACATCAGGAAGGACGTCGGGATCGCGAAGTACGGGATCCCCCCGGGCTGCTGCGGCTGCGCCGCGATCCTCAACGGCGCCCGGGCGCAGGCCCACTCAGCAGGGCGCCGCGCTCGGATCGAGCAGGCGATGCAGGGCGACGAGGGGGCGAAGCAGAGGCTGGGTGCCCGTGAGCGGAAGCGGCATCGCACTGACGTCGCCGGGCTCGTCTACCAAGAGGGCGGCTCGCCCGGCAGTGGCGGCCCAGCCCCAGTTCAGCAGGCGCCGCCAGCACATGAGGCCGCGGCGGCGGCTGACGTGGCGACGGCTCCGGCGCCCCACGACCCAGGCGACGAAAACGTGCAGGAGGAGATCAGTGCCCTCCTGCTCTCCCTCGGCTACAGCGGGCGCAAGGCCGACGCGATGGAGGTCTTCTGCCAGAATAGCCTTGTGGGCTCTGCCCCACTCGTCGGTCTGGTCCATGGCGGCTCGTTCGACTTGAGGGTTGGCTGGGGCCTGGCCGACCGCCAGCAGCAGCGACAGTGCCGTGAGCTGATCGAGCACTACGAAGTGTACTTCATCTTGGGTAGTCGGGTAGTCCTCGCTGCGCGCCGTTCTCCATGCTGAAGTACACGAGGACACGGAGAAGCAGCGTGAGGCCTATGCCATCGGGCACGAGCACTTGAGGTTCGTGATTGGGCCCTACACGCTGCAGGTGAAGAACGACCGCGCGTTGTTGCACGAGCGCTCCTGGAGCGCGGACAGCAGGGGCCTGGACATTGTGAAGGACGTGATGGCTCTCTCCGGCGTCGAGGTCGGGCGGGGCGACCAGCGTGTGTTCGGCCTGGTGGTTGCGGACGCGCGCGGCGACAGGCTCGCCAAGAAGCCGACAAGATGGATGAGTAACAACAAGGAGGTGTTGGATGGTCTGCAAGCGCTGCCCCAATGATACTGGCATTGGCAGCAAACACGAGCACCCCACCTTCGTCGGCCGAAACATGCGTGTGGCGGAGAGGTGCCCGGTTAAGCTCCTCCGTGCCATCCTCCGTGGTCTCCGCCGGCACCTTGGGAACAAGAAGGTGCTCACGCTTTCGGCCCTGGATGCTGGGCCGAAAGTGGACGATGAGGAGATCAGCCTGAAGGGCTCCGTCGGGAGGTGGCGCGACACGCTGAGGACCGAGTTCTACGACGACCTCACCAGCCTACCACTGGACCCCACGCTGGTGAAGGCTGCGAGGCGCCTGGAGATGGATTTCATGGCGCAGCTCGGCGCGCGGTTTTACGCGAGGGAGGAGGACTGCCGCCAGCGCGAGCTACGACGGAGGCCTCTCAGTGCGCGCTGGGTTGACATTGACATGGGCGACACCGACCAACCGGACTGCAGATCCAGGCTCGTCGCGCAGGAGACCTAGGCGCAGAGCACTATCGCCGGGGGCGACATCGGCGCGGTGTTCGCGGCGACCCCGCCGCTGGTGTGCCTTCGGCTCATCTGCAGCATGGCGATGTCGAGCGACCCGTCCGAGGGCCGCGTGCTGTGCTTCCTGGGCATCTCGCGGGCACACCCGCACTGCGAGATCAAGAGCACGGTCTGCATCAAGCTTCCAGGAGAGGATCCGATGTCGCAGGAGATCGGTACGTGTGGGCTCTTGCGGATGGCGCTTTACGGGGCGCGCGACGCTGGCCAGAGTTTCGAGCTCACGACCGCCGAGACGGTCATCGGTGCTGGCTGTGACCAGTCGGCCTTCTCACCTTGCGTGTACTGCCACAGGGGCCTGCAGGTGAGCTTCTTCCACCACGGCGATGACTTCGCGCTCGAGGGATCTCGGGGCGGGACGGAGTCGATCTGCGAGTCTCTGAAGACGAAGTTCATCGTGAAGGACGGGGGCGTGCTCGGGCCGGCGCCTACCGACGCGGAGGAGATCACGCGCCTCAACAGGGTAGTGCGCTGGCGGGCCGATGGGGCCAAGGGGGCGAGGCCATCGAGTACGAGGCGGATCCCTGGCACGCGCAGATCTTGCACGCACAGCTCGGAATGGACCCCCGTGCAACGAAGTCATTGAGCACGCCAGGGCTGAGCCAGGAGCTGGCACCTGAGGTCGAGCGCGAGCTGAACGAGCACGAGGCGGCGGAGCACCGCAGCGCGTGCATGAGGCTGGGCTACTTGGCGCTCGTCCGGCCAGAGGTGCAGTTCACGGCCAAGGAGTGCGCTCGCGGCATGCAGAAGCCGACAGAGCGACGCCTCTGCCTCCTGAAGCGCGCGGGGCGCTTCTTGACCGGGGCGCCGCGGGCCATCTGGAAGTGGGGCCGATAGCGGGCGCCCGCGGCGATGGACATCTACTCGGACACGAACTAGGCAGGCTGCCCGATCACGTGTAGGGGAGTACCAGTTCAGTTGTGATCAAGCACGAGCAGCGCCTGATCGCGACGGCAGCGGCGAATCAGATCCCCATCTCCATGAGCTCGGGGGAGGCTGAGTTCCACGGCTGCGCGCGAGCGGCCAGCAGGGCCATCGGCATGTAGTCACTGTGCCAGGGCCTAAGCAGGGAAGTGAGCCTTCGCATCTGGAGCGACTCGGCGGCTGCTCTTGTCATCGTGCAACGACGGGGCTGTGGCGAAGTCCGACGCCCTGAGACGCCGACGCTACGGGTGCAGAAGGCACTCGGGGACGGACGGTTTCAACTGGCCAAGGTTCCCAGGAAGTCGAACCCGGCGGACCTGGGGCCGAAGTTCCTCGACCAGGCGGCGATGCTCCGAGGGCTGAAGATGATGAATGTCGAGCCCTCGGACGCGCCTCTCTCGAGCGCCGTTCAGGCGAAGGTCTGAACCAGAGGCATGAGCGGCCATTTTGGCCTGGCTATTTTGTCTTGCAGTCTGTCGCCCCTCGCTGTCATTGCCTTGGACGGGCTACGGTCGCCAGCGCGGTGATGGCGCGCGCTTTTGATTGCAGTGCTCGACCAACGCCGCGGTCCAGATCGCTGTGTACTGTCAATGTGTTTCGGAGCTTGTAAGGATTCAAGCATCGCGCTTGGCTGAGGAGCTGGGCGGCACGAAGGGGGCTGCAGGAAACCAGAGACCCCCAGCAGGTTTACTATAAGAGGGTATGTACGTCGACGTTCGGGCTCAACGCATCAAGGCAAGCATCCGGAGAAAAGATCTCGCCATACTCTCTGTCGTGCAGTGTCTCGCTTTTTCGGTGTGCGTCTTGCGCCCTTCCGCGCGAGCGCGTGCCGTGCTCGCGCTTCGTCGTAAGCGCCACGCCTACGTCGCGCCTTGGTCGTGCTTTTCGGCGCCAGATTCGTGTTCTTTTGCGTTATTGTTTTTGCCTTGACGTGCTGGGCGCTCGTTTGCACATGTATCCAGGTTAGATACACAATACGTAAATGCTTTGTTTCGTGCGCTTGTGCTTTCTATCGCCTGTGTCGTAGATGTTTCACGCCTTTGCGCGGTCTTCCATCGCCTTGTTGTGGTTGTCCTTTCGTTTTCGCGCATTTTCTTTACGCGCTGCCGCGCCGCAGTCGATATGTCTCGCACGTCGCGCAGCGCCTGCTTGCGTCTCATTTGTCTACGGTCTGCTCTCGCTTGTCATCGCGTGGTTGTCACGCGTGCCCCGTCGCGCTCGCGATGCTCGGAGCGGCTGGCGGCTGCCCGCTGGCAGCGCGCACGTCGGGTGGGATAATGAGCCTTAGCTCGTTATTTCAACTGCTCGCGCAGGACAGTTTTTTTTCAATCGGCGATTATAATTCGGGTTATTCGGGGAGGGGGGGAGGAGGAGGGGGCCGGCCGATAACCTAACATTCGCGCTGTGGGCAGCCCGCGCCCCCCCCACCCCGGAGCTGCACAACCAGCGCGGCTAGGTTATCCTGGGGGGGAGAGGGGGGGCAAGCCCGATAATCCGGGTTATCGCCGGACCCTAAACAAAAACAGTCCAGCGCGCGCGGGCACCCCGCTCTTCGCCGCTGGCGGTTCGCAGGGGCCGGGCCGCCCTCGCGGGAGTCGGGCCACGCCCGCAGGCAGGCCGCGTTGGCACGGGCCTTGGCGAGCCAGCTGCGGCCCGAACCCCAACCTGAGACTGAAGTCGGGCCTGCTTTTCTACAGGAGGAACATTTCAAACTAGTGGTATGGAGGCGAATTTTATTCCCATCAGGCAGGTTGGGGTCGTTAGGTTTTAAGAACAGACCCCCTGGCCACTCCCACCCTGCATACCGCGGCCGCCCGACTCCAAGTTGTCCCGAGTGTCCCGGATATCCCGCCTCGCGCCCTCGACAAACACGACAAACACACCCTGCATACCGCGGCCGCCACGCCCCAAGTTGTCCCGCGTGTCCCGGGTATCCCGCCTCGTGCCCTCCGACAAACACGACAGAACATACCTTGCATACCGCGGACGCCAGACCCCAAGCTGTCCCGAGTGTCCCAGTTCTCCCGCCTCGCGCCCTCGACAGACACGACAGAACACATCCTGCATACCGCGGCCGCCAGACCCCAAGTTGTCCCGAGTGTCTTGGTTATCCCGCCTTGCGCCCTCGATAAACACGACAGAGCGCAATATAACACAACAGAACATGAGATAACAGAGCAATATCATGTATGAACATGGCAGACCAGAACATGTCAATATGATGACATAGAGGACACCTGCATGTCACATACCATACCAAAGCAGAACACGCCATACCAGCAAACTACATAAGTCAACAGATTACGACATAACCGAGCAGAGCATACGACACATCGGCATAACATATCTCATCATGACACAGCGTCACCAAACATATCACTAGACGACAGCAGAGCATGGCGGCGAACACGCCTGAACACAACATGTCACACCAGAAGGTATCATAACATGCCACGAGCATGTCATTCCATGGTAGAGCATAACAGAGCAATATCATTATACAAAACAACTGGTATCTCATCACATGACACATCATGTCATGTCATGGCAGAACATAATGCGACATAACACAACACAGCATCTCATAACCGACGAACAAATAAGATACCTTGGCAGAACATCCCATATCATTGCACTTCATCGCAGAACAAATCACAACACGACAGTATAGCATATCGCCACATACTAGCATAGCAGGCCATACTATATCATAACATCAACTTGCGACCTGGCCCGGCCGCCGCGCTGGCCCACGCCGCCGGGCACTGCGCACATCCTTCCAGTAGGCGCCCGCACCGTTGGGACCAAACGCCGAAGGTTTCGGTGGGGATCGTTCGAAGCAAACTAATGGGTGATTGTTTATTTCTTCTGGATTAGTTTTTGACTATTTTTGAGTTTTCGTCCAACACCCGCCTGTGGGAGGACATGCCCGATGTGACCTGAGACCCTGAGATCCTGGCGTTGCAACTCTTTCACCACAGGCGTTTTCGCACCTTTTTCAGGCCCTTGTCCCTCACAGCTCGCTCCGGCTCGAAATATTGCAGGGGCAAATAAAGTTGGATCCCAGGCTCCGGTCGTGATGTTTTGCGAGGGGCATTTTTTTCCGCCGCGTCGGATCTCAGGGGACGCCGGCGGGCGCAGAGACATGAGAGAAGTCTTAGGTCGGGCATGTCTTCCAACAGGCGGGTTTTGGATGAAAAATGCCAGATATCCCAAGCAAAATCAACATAGTTTTTGTTAATGTAAGAGAATCGTCCACATACTTTTTATTTCAGTATTTACGAATGTTCCTCCTGTATAGTGTACAGGGACAGGCCCGACTTCGGAGAAGTCCGAGGGCGCCGAAGAACCGAGCCAGTGTGAGATTTGGCCAGGTTCGGCGAGCTTCGACACTGGGGCCTCGCAGGCGGAGGCCCCTCCTCCTCCTCCTCCTCCTCCTCCTCCTCCTCCTCCTCCTCCTCTCAAATCTGCCGAGCCCCGCGGAGGGAGGAGGCCATCCCTCCCCCGAAAAGTTTCGAGAGCGTCTCAAATGACGCGCTTACTGGAGCCTCAAAATCTGGCTGAAGCTGCTGCTGATCAGAGGAGGAAAAGGTACCCACACCTACCCTTTCCTCGTTTTCCTCTTTTTGGGCCTCCTGGGAGGCCTCCGTCGCCACCGCTGGATTCGCTTCGAGATTCTGGCCAGAACGCACCCCAGGAGAGGTCCGGGGTCTTGGGTCACCAGAGCGGCCGGCGGTCCTGCTTGCCGGCGAGAGCGCCACCCCGAACGAGACCAGGGAAGAGAGGCAGCTGCGCGACGGGCGACGTAGCGACGATGGGGGGGCTGCTGCTGTGTTGCGCCACCTCCTCTCCGAGGGAGGAGAAGCGATATCAACACCACCAGGGGGCCCACCGCCAGCGAGGAGGTCCACGATGCCTCTCCGAGCTGGAGGCTGGGGATGTCTCGAGCGAGAGGGGGGGACCACACCACCAGGGAGACCCCCCTTGCCTCCACGCATCTCCTCGCCCTGTTGGTGTTGGTGTCGCCTTTCCTTGCTCCTACGTTGCCCTGCAGCGAGGGCCCCCAGCCGAAGTGCAGCGTGCGCGTGGCGGCGCCTGCTGGAGGGACGTAAAGATCAGAACAGGCGCTAAGCCCAGGGGCGGACCACGGGGCAGCTCGGGGCGGCCAACGCAAAAGCGGAAAGCAAGCCGCGGAGCAGCGGCATCCAAGGGGTTCGTGGAGAACCTCAGACCTTGCGCGCCAAGATGGTTTCGGAGGAGGAGGAAGGGAAAGAGGAGGAGGAAGGGGAGGAGGAGGAGGAGGAGGAGGAGGAGGAGGAGGAGGAGGAGGAGGGGGAAGGAGGAGGAGGAGGGGGAGGAGGAGGAGGAGGAGGAGGAGGAGGAGGAGGAGGAGGAGGAGGAGGAGGAGGAGAAACACTATGAAAAGGAGGGGGAGGAGGTGGTGGAGGAGGAGCCATGGAGCCATAGAGAGCATAGAAGCAACCCGTGCGAGAGGACTTCCTCACACGAGAGTGCTGCCTCATCGCAACACGGGCCGCCCTCCGCCCCCACACAAGGAGACCTCCCGCACGTTCAGGGGAAGATCCTCGCTCATCGGCGAGGGGCCCACGCAACACGGCCGAAGTACTAGTGCAGGTCAACGCCTTGTCGCCCCGTGACTCGCTACTGATACGTGATGGCGGTGGTGCGTCGGGCGGCGGTCGTTTCTCCTCCTCATTGTGAGGTCCTTCCCGATGATCAACCTATGCCGAAACATATGACACGTGCCGTTGGTCTGGTACCCCAGGGCGAGTACGCACGAAGGCCCCATGGGACTAATTTTCCACATGACCCCGCCGCTCCACCACATGCACGGTCCCCGTGCCTGGAAGCCCAAGGTGACTCCAGCGTCGCTGCCCAATGTCGGAACGCCGAATAAGAGAACGGTTTCGTTCGGACGGGGCTGGGGCGAGGATTAGCCCTTTCCAGAGCGTTCCCGGACGCTCTCAGAAAGTTCCAGACCGCTCTGGGAAGGCCGCGGCGCCCGAGACATCCCGCAGAACAGCCAGATTTTAGAGATTCTGGATTTATCCCCGCCCGATTTTGCCCTCGTCCTGGTTTCGTCATCAGGCGCGATGTGGTGCGATGTGGTGTACAGGCGCGATGTGGTGCGCGCATAACCTGCTGCATCATAATGTGTGGTGACAGCCATTCGAGCGGCCGGGCGCGGCTGTGCTATGTTATGTGCCAGCGACCCCACCCACCCAGCCACATAACGCGCGTTATGTGGAACAGTAAAGATTTGATCTCCTCTTCCCCCCCCAGGCGCCGGCGCAGCCGCGGTCGAGCGCGGAGGCGCCAAACGGACAGCCGCCGTGGCACGCGCCGCCGGCCGCTGGCGGGCCCGCTTCCCCCTCTGCAGGGGTTGGGGCCCCGGCGGCCGCCGGGCCCCGACGCAGTGTAGCGTCGTCGTCGTCGTCGTCGTCGTCGTCGTTGTCGGCCTCGTCGCTTTCGTCGTCGTCGTCGTTGTCGCCGTCCTCGTCCTCCTCGCCGTCCCTTGCGGGTTGAGGCGCTCCTCGTTGTCCCTCTCGCGCAGCGGAGCGACAGGCGGGGGCCATGCTATTCAGCTTGAAGGAGACGGATCCTGGATGGCTAGCCCCGTGCTCGGGCCCCCCATCCCCCTCTTTTCCTTCCCCTCCTCATCCCTCTCCCTCGTCCTCTCGCTGCTCCTCTTCCTCTCCTTCCTCCTCCTCCTCCTCCCTGGCCTATTGGAGCTCTTGGGACGTCTTGGAAGCATCTTTGGGCGCCTTGGAGTAGTCTTGGCCTCGGCAATGCGAATACGGTGTGCTCTGCAAAGGTTTATAGCTTCGGGGACGCGAGTATTGCGTAATGTTCAAAGGTTTGCTGCTTCGGGGATGCACACATTGCATCTGTTATTAGGGTCTGTGGTCTCGGAGACGCGAACATTGAGTAATTTACCCAATATTATTGTCCCGGGGACGCGGATCCTATACATATTGTTGCGTGTTCCACGCCCCCCCCCCAAGGAATTCAGAGCACGCGATCCGAGGCTGGTAACCTGGCGGTTTGGGGCTCCCCCCTCTCGCACAGACTCAATCAGTATCGCTTAACCGGCCCCCACCAACTTACCACCCTAATCGGGGATACACCCCTCGAAACCCGAAGGGAACGACCTACATCCCCATCTAGGGGGTCAATGGGCCAGTGAGGCCCAGGCCACGCCGCTGGGGATGGGGATCGGTTTAACGATATCCATTAAACAAGTCAGTTTACGATTGGAGGCACGAAGCAGATTGTGACATTGGAGACTTGAAACCGCAACCGGCGCAGGGAACAGCGCATTTCGGCCTGCAGCCCGGTGACCCCACACGGGGGCCGGCGGAGTCTCTGGGAGGGTCGGGCTTTTGGTGGAAGGATTCTTGTGGTCGAGACCCTACTGTACTTTACCAGCCTTCCTCCTTCGTGTTTCTACCTGCTCCTTCTGACCGACGTATAAGCGTGGTGCTCAGACCACTAGTCGCACACAGCTCACGTGGGTCCAGAAGGGGACCCCAGGGAAAGGGACTTCTGAGACGGGCGATGCCGATTTCTCAAGTCCGTTCGGCTTCGCCCACAGGGTCGTTGCGCGACGCCTTCGCTCGCATTCGTTGAGGCATCGAATGCAACGCCGCGGTCTCAGAAGTCCCATTTCGCTGGCGTCGCTTCAGGAAACGCGTCAATAACAGCCGGGTATAGCCAGGACCCCGGGTAAGGGGACCCGGGTAGTGGTAGGGCCCCGGAGCCCCTCAATTGGCCAGAGTAATTGAACCAGGTCTGCCGTAACCTCGTAACCTATGTTCTTTCGGGTGACGGCAGTTCCGGTCAGTGGAACGGGGCGGGGTGGGCGTCCCCCAGCACACGTCTCTAAACCAGGTCCCATTCAACCCAGTTCTGCCAACGCCCGAAGCAGGGGCCCCACCCTCGGGTGCTGCTAGAAGTGCCCCTGGCCCAAGGTGCCCCCAGCTTTTCGCTCCATTTTGGGGCCCCTTGGGGCCCTCTGGGCCTCGTGAAGGGTGCTCTGTAGGCCGTTTGGGCCACCCCGAGAATCCCGAGGGCACCTTGGGCCAGGGGTACGTCTAGCAACATCCGACACCCGCGCTATCACAAGGAGGCTCGTGCGTCGGACGCTGGCAGGCCCTCTCGGCCGGCGTTGCCCTCCCGGCCGCCGCGCCCCGAGGGAGCGGGAGGTGCGGCCTCGCGCCCGCGCCTCGCCTCGATACCGCGGACGTCGGCGCCCGCGGCGCGCATCAAGGCTTAAGTCGGGCACGTCCCTCTACAGGAGGAATATTCAAAAATTGTCAAAACAGGGACGATGTTTTGAGTATTTTCTGCCATGGTTTAATTTGTTTGTTTTTCGCCCAAAGTCCGCCTGTAGGGGGACATGCCCGACCTAATTCAAGGCGCGCGAGGAGGCAACGCCACCGCTTCCTGGCATCGCTCGGGCGTGTACATGTTCAGGGGCGGGGACCGTCGAGGAGACTCTCGCATCATCGTGCGACACATCAGCGCGCGACACCGAACATACGCGCGGGGGGTGGGCGTCAGAGCGATGCTGGCGCACGGAGGCGCGCGAGGAGGCAACAAGACAAGTTCATATGGAAGGTGGCACGTTGCGTTCTGTCTTTAGGTCCTCGAGGACAAATCCTTCCTGCTTCCCACCTCTGTCCTCCTCGGTCATTCCTCCGGGTCCTCCTCTGTCTCCTCCCTCCTCCGTCCTGCGTCCCCCCCCTCCTCCTCCTCCTCTTCCTCCTCCCTCCCTCCCATTTCCCCCTCCCTTCTGTCCTCCTCCCTCTCCTGCATCCCTATTCCTACCCCCCCCCTTTGGTCCTCCTCCGTCCCGCTTCCTCCATCTTCCTCCTTCTCGACCTCGTCGCCGCCGCCGTCGCCGTCGCTGCGGTCGCCGCCGTCGGCCCGGCAGCAGGCGGATGGCCGCAGGCCGGCAGCGGCTGGGGCGGCGGCTGGGGCGGCGCCTGGCAGGGTGCGCCTGCCACCGCTGGCTCTGGAGGCGCTGCCCCGCCGCCAGGGTATCCTGGCTACCCTGGGCCCGGAGGCGCCGCCAGAGCGAGGGCGGGGCTGGGGGGAGGGAGGGAAGGAGGTGGGTGGGGGGAGGGGGGGAGGGAGGGAAGGAGGTAGAGAAGGGGCCAGGAGAAGTCTGGGAGCAAGCGTGGGTTCCCACCTTCCCACCGCCCGACGAGGGCCGCCACGTCGGCACACCGCGCCGCGTGCTGGAGCGCATGCGGCCTGCAGCGCTTGTCCGCGATAAGGGGGTCGGTTTGGGGTGGTCGGCGGGCGCGGCGCCCCCCTTGCGCTTGAAGTCTGGAGCCAGGAGTGACGCGGAGGAGCCGGGAGTGACCCGGAGGAGGAGGAGTGACCTGGAGGAGGAGGACGAGGAGGAGGAGGAGGAGGAATAATCATAAGAAGAGGAATCATGAGGACGAGGAGATGAATGATAATTGTCAGCCTAAAAGAAGAATGTGAAGAATACAAAGAAGAACAGTACTAATAACAATTTGAATACTACCATAAGAAGAACTTGCATATTTTACCAATAATTCAAGAATAATAACAAACACAATGATAATACGCATAAGCGGAGGAGGTGGATGTGGTGGAGGAGGAGGAGGAGGAGGAGAGAGGGAAAGAGGAGAGAGAGAGAGAGAGAGAACACACGAGCGAGTGCGCCCGCTCGTCCTCGCGCTGGGCCACGCCGTCTACAAGTACGGCAACGCCAGCGGCGAAGGCTAGGCGCATCGGAGCTGGGATGGTTGTGGGCCATCCTTGCCCCCCCCCCCCACCTTTGGGGCATGCTGTGCTTGCACGACATGTCTTCGGATGCGAAACCTGCGAGGACGACGTGGACTAGAGTGAATCTAAGATGTAGAAGCGATCTCGCAATGATTCCCTTCCGCATGAGTCCGTGCAAGCCTTCCCCTGCACTGGGAACAACGCCCTCTCGAAAAAAAACCTCCCATGGGGATGCCGTTCGGGCGAGAGTCCCGCGTTGAGACCGTCGACCGTTTTGAGAGGAAACCCGCGCGGTCGATCTACTGGTTGCAGTGGCGCGCGAGAGCCCCACTGTAAGGACGAACCGCCCTCCATATCCGCAGCAGATGCAGATTGTCAAGTTCGTGATTGGTAGATATGAGGAAGGCAAGGCGCAGTCCCAATTTTCAAATGCAGCCGCCCACAATCTGCTTACCTGTTTCGCGATTGTAGACTTGCGTGGCACTTTGAAAAGGTGTCTCAGGCGAGAGCCCCACGTTGAAAACAGACTGGTCCGCGCCCTGGTAGTTGTTGCAAGTTCTTGCGCTCGTTGATCTTCACTTTGAAAGGGGAGCTGTACAGGCAAATGCGCGCGGCGCCAAGGCGAGCTTGCGAGAGCGCAATTGCCAGAGGGATCCGTCCTCGCGGGTCCTCAAGGGTGGGTCTCGGTTGAGTCGCGGGCGGGTTGGGGGGGGCGCGGGTGGGTCGCTAGGCCGGTCGCTTGGTGGGTCGCGGGACGCGTCGTGGGTGAATCGCGGATGGGTCGCGAGAAGTCGCGGGTGGGTCGCGGTTGGATCGCGGATGCGTCGTTGGCGGGTCACGGGCGGGTCGCGCGCGGGACGACGACACCAGCGACATAAAAAGGAATTTTGCGTGCCGCAGAGCAGTCTTCTGCGACGCGGTCAGTGACAGACAAAACCAGTCGGCTTCCTTCTTCTGACTTTGTTGGGCAACGGACGCAGTGTGAGAACCGAGGGGGGGGGCTCACTTGAAAAGCGCGCTTGGCACCAGTGGGGGGGGACCAGTGATCATTGTTTTGTAGAGGTGAGAGTTCCACGAAAATACACACCGCGGATCCCTAGTTCAGCCGCGCGCCCGGAAGTTTGTAAAACCGTTCGCCCCCCGCTCTGCTATACGTGCACATGACGTGGACGGAAAGCGCGTAAACTTTTCAGCGCTCCAGCTTGTGTGGCAGAACACTCCAACCTTCCTGGTGTGCGTTCAGCGCTTGGCCCCCGCGCGTAAGTTCACCCGTGCGTGTGCGAGTGTGTGTGTGTGTGTGCGTGTGTTGGTATGTGTGTTTGTGTGTGCGTGCGTGTGCGTGCGCGTGCAAGTGGGAGACCCTGAGTGCAAGCCTTGTTTGGGGAATCTTGGATTCACATTGATGGTATATGTGCTCTCGGAGCTGTCCTGGGGTAGCCACGCACGTTCTGAGTTTCGGTTTCTGTTTCAGAAGTGGCCGCTCATCGCACGACATGGCTCGACGCTGAGGAACCCGCTCAAGCGATCGAGTGTGGCGTAGGCGCGAGTAGGGTGAAATAGATGTTGGGCTGTTGGATATTCGCGGTTGAATTAGCTGACGACACGATGCCGTTGACGGCGCCATAGCTGCACGCCTACGGCGATAAAGACGCCACGCGACCTCCTTAATTCGACGCGATTCTGCGGGGTTCTTGGGACCAACAAGACTATAACCACCCCGCGTTGTAAGGATGAACGAATTTCCAAGGTTACCCCTGGATCCTTCCCCTTCGGCCCATCCTTGGGCGTTCTCGCTGGCCGCGCCCCGCCCGCAAAGTGGCTACGCGGCTTTCCAAGACCCTTGCATCCTTATCGTGCGTCCTTCTCGTACGGATTGATTGCACTCACGGGGTGCCTTATTCATATTAGGTGTGTGTGTGTGTGTTGTGTGTGTGTGCGTGTGTGCGTGCGTCCTGGCTAATTCGTCGATGAGCTTGCTAATTCGCTGATTCGGTGCGCCGCGTCCTCCTCCCCCTCCTCTTCCCCTTGTGGCCTCTTCCTCCTGTTCCTTTTTGTTCCTCCTCTTGTTCCTCCTCCTCTTCATCCTCTACTTCCTCCTCCTCCTCCTCCTCCTCCTCCTCTTCCTCCTCCTCCTCTTCCTCCGCCCTCCTCGGCCGCAGGGCGCCCTGTTCGCATGGTAGAAAGTATGTGTGCATATCTGTGTGTGCGTGCGTTGTGCAGCCTCTTGGTGCCTGCATCGCGACGCCGCGCCGCGCCCGCTCCGGCGGCCGGCGGGCGTCTCAGATCGCCGGCACTCCGCGGGCCGCCCCCGCAGGGGCGAGGCGTCGGCGGCCCCGCGTCGCTGTCACAAGAAGGACGAGGAGGAGGAGGAGGAGGAGGAGGAGGAGGAGGAGGCGGAGGAGGAGGAGGAGGAGGCGGAGGAAGCCACTGGCTGAGGAGTGGGGGGGCCGCCGCTCCCGCCCGCCGCCGCGCAGGGGCACCGTCGTCGCCCCCTCGCCGCCGCGGCGGCCTCCCCCCAACGGCCAGGGCTCAGGCGCGCCGCCCGAGCCGCAGGACAGCGGCCGCGGAGGCCGCGACCAGCCGCAGCCACGCCCAAGGAGGGCGCCTGGCATCGAAGAGCACGTGAGCGTCGTGCACAAGCTCGTGTGCTACTACGCCTCGCAGCAGCGCAGGACCTCCTGGGGAACCACCACAGCGCGCAGCAGCCCCAGCGCCACCAGCAGCACGCCATGGAGCAGAACTGGAAGCAGCAACGCGACGCCTCGAGGGAAAGGTGGTCAGGAGCGGGGACCACACACCTCGAGGCGTCGCGGCGCGGCCCTGGGAAAAGGTGGACAGGAGCAGGGTCCACAGCCCAGGCGCAGCGCCAGCGCAGACACAGCAGCAGTGCCAATGACTGGACTGGCGACTACGGAGCCATCGGAGGGCGGCCCTGGGAGTGGGCCCTCGGGGATGGCCATCAGCACAACTCTCAGAAGAGGCAGCGCAGTCAGCAGCAGCAGCAGCAGCAGCCTCAGACCCACAAGCACCACCACCAGCCAGCCCAACACCAGCACCAGCAAAAGCACCCACAGCACCAGCAGCGAAGCGACAGCGACCAGCACTGGAAGCACAGTGCGCCATGGAGGAGCGCCTCAGCCAGAAGGAGAAGCAGCAGGCGCAAAAGAAGGGATCAGCTCGACACTCCAGCCTCAGCCTACATCGGCAGCTTCCAGTACAGCCCTCAGCAAAAGGCAGTCTTGGACAGCATCACGCCAGTCTCCTTCGCCGTCGCGATGGAACATGAGAGCTGGTCCGCCACCAGACGACGAGGAGATGAGGTTCGTGTGGTACAAGACGAAGTGCCACAGGCTGGGACGCCTCTCCGAGAACATCGCTGGCGCTAGGCTGGCGGGCTTGTGCACAACCAGCCTCGAGCAGGAAGCGGCGACCACCGCCGCGAACATCTCCTTCGTCCTGCCCCACAAAGAGCGCATGAAGCAGCTCAGGGCTACGCTGGAAAAGCTGGAGGAGGAGCATGCCGAGATGGAGAAGCGGCTCAGCAAGATGCTCGACCAGGAGGCGGCGGCCGCCAGAACCATCAGGGTCTACAAGACCCTGATGAGGGAAACCAGAGATCAAATGGCAAAGTCGGCGGGCGTAAAGGAGGAATCGTCAGAGGAAGAGGGGGGCCATGATCCCACCAGAGGGCGCACGCCACACCCGGCCGCGAGGAGGAGGCGCGATCCAACTGCAGCTCTGGCGGCACCAGCCACAGCTCAGCCAGCCACAGCTCAGCCAGCCACAGCAGCTCAGCAGCCACGACCAGCCCCAGCAGCACCAGACGAGATCAAAGACGCCATCAGGAGACTGACCGAGAGGCTCGACTCGCAGCAGAAAAAGGAACAGCAGCAAAGCGACCTGCTGGCACAAGCAGAGCTCAAGCACAAAAGCGAGCTGAAGGCCTACGAGCAGACCATGGCGCAAAAGATGTACCACACGACCGAAGTGCAGCTGGCAAAGCAGGAGGAGTGGCACACATGGGAGGTCAACGCGCTCAAGCGGCACCACAACGCCAAGCTGGAGGAGGAGGAAGCGAAAGCATACGAGGCACAAAGAGGCACCCAGAGGACACAGGAGGAAAGGGCCAAAGGGATGCTCGTGGACTGGCAAATGCATCTTGAGTTGGAAAAGAAGACACTACGCGAGGAGATGCACAAGGAAGACCAGAGAAGAGCAGCCATCTACACGCAGCAGGTCCAGAAGGCCAGGCAGGAAGAGCAAGCTGTGAGACAGATGGCGGCTCAGGAGGCCCAGTGGTGCAAG